AATGGAAATCCAGCCACTAAAAAGCTAAACAGCCCCCCGCTAAAAGTTTCACTTTTGGTGGGTTCAATGGAAATCCAGCCACTCAAAAGCTAAAAAGCCCCCCGCTAAAAGTTTCACTTTTTCACTTTTGGTGGGTTAAATGAAATCCAGCTTACTAAAAGCTAAAAAGCCCCCGCTAAAAGTTTCACTTTTGGTGGGTTCAATGGAAATCCAGCCACTCAAAAGCAAAAAAACTAAAGGCTAAAAGTTTCACTTTTGGTGGGTTAAATGGAAATCCAGCCACTAAAAAGCTAAAAAGCCCCCCGCTAAAAGTTTCACTTTTGGTGGGTTCAATGGAAATCCAGCCACTCAAAAGCTAAAAAGCTAAAAGGCTAAAAGTTTCACTTTTGGTGGGTTAAATGGAAATCCAGCCACTAAAAAGCTAAAAAGCTAAAAAGCCCCCGCTAAAAGTTTCACTTTTGGTGGGTTCAATGGAAATCCAGCCACTCAAAAGCTAAAAAGCTAAAAGGCTAAAAGTTTCACTTTTGGTGGGTTAAATGGAAATCCAGCCACTAAAAAGCTAAAAAGCCCCCCGCTAAAAGTTTCACTTTTGGTGGGTTCAATGGAAATCCAGCCACTAAAAAGCTAAAAACTCCCAGCCACTAAAAAGCTAAAAGCCCCCCGCTAAAAGTTTCACTTTTGGTGGGTTCAATGGAAATCCAGCCACTAAAAAGCTAAAAAGCCCCCCGCTAAAAGTTTCACTTTTGGTGGGTTCAATGGAAATCCAGCCACTCAAAAGCTAAAAAGCTAAAAGGCTAAAAGTTTCACTTTTGGTGGGTTAAATGGAAATCCAGCCACGAAAAAGCCAAAAAGCCCCCCGCTAAAAGTTTCACTTTTGGTGGGTTCAATGGAAATCCAGCCACTAAAAAGCTAAAAAGCCAAAAAGCCCCCCGCTAAAAGTTTCACTTTTGGCGGGTTAAATGGAAATCCAACCACTAAAAAGCTAAAAGGCTAAAAGGCTAAAAGGCTTCCTGAACCGGATCGCTGGGAGCCACCAGGACTACGACAGTCCCACTCGGGCAACGACCCCGCGCGATGAGCGCGACGACTGGACGCATCCGTCGCCTGCCAGCCAACGCCCATGCCGCTGGACCCGTACTGCCAGAGGCCTACGAAGTTCAGCGGCAGGAACATCCTCGCGAAACGCGCGACAGAACAAGGGCTTGGTACCCCGAAACCAACCAAACCCAACCAAAACCCACCAAAAAACAACCAAAACCCACCAAAAAACAGAACCCCTTTCATAAAAGAAATCAAGTTCCAGGGCAATAGCATGGATCCTGACATGTCGGGGTCCTGGTTTGGACCATTTTCCTTTAACAGAGACCCTCTGGTTCAGATGAGCTCCATGAGAATGGACCGGGGATCGTTGGTGTATCTGTTTGTCGGAGCCCCCGAAATAGATTTCGGTGCCCCTTTTGGTTTCCGAAATATCACCGAGGACTTGGGTTCGCGCCTTGCTTTTTCATACCCAGGAAATGGATTGGTTAGGGAAACCAAGAGGAACCACCCCCGTTTCGTCTTGGATGGAAACAATGACTACCTGTGCAACCCGAGTGCTTTCATTTTGAGCCATACCCATTTCGGGGTTGGTTGAAAAGGAAACTAACAACCACAGCCCATGTTGAGTCTCTATTTGGACATATACCCGTTTGGGTGTGAACTTTTTGGGTGTGAACTTTTATGGGCCCCGGACCCTGTTCGAACATCAAAATTCGGTGGCTCATGTCCACCAACCACTTTTGAGGCGGTTCTCGATTCAAATTCAGAGCCATTTGACTTAGGCATCTGGGAATTGACATGTGTACATTTTCTGAGAACATCCACCGGCCAGGGATGTGCGTTGTGGGGACAAGATGGCATACCCTCCTGCCCACAGGGGGGGCTTTTTAAGGGACCCCAAAATGGTGGTACCCTCAAAAAAGACCTACATGGAACCCAACTGCGAATTGGTCCCTTTCAGAGGAGATTACTCCAAGCCAGGATCGCGAAAGGTCAAGTTCATGGTGGTTCTTCGAACAGGCGTCCATTGCTTTTGGGGTTATGATGGACACTTATTCTATTTTGCAACCTGCTTGTGTAGGGTATTGATGTTGAAGAGTTTGACGCTGCAAAATATACTCTATTTGTCCAGGCCAGGGGGGCTTACAGTTCCCAAGAAACACCTTCTCCACATGGACTGGGGGGTCCCGAATTGAACAGCCCAACAAATGGAGAGACATGGCCCATCTTCTGTTGGTGTCCGTTTGGGTAAATTAACGATTCCAGGATATTTAGCATGAACCAATTGTAACAAGGCATGTTGTTGGAAAAATTCAAAAACGGTGGCCCAAAATGCGAGACAAACAAAACATAATTATGTTATGTATATATATATATATTAACAAAAAAAAAAGGTTCAACTGGGCTGTCCGCAGATCCCCTGCTACAAAAAAGATACTAAAGTGGATTAAATTCGAAAACCCAACCACTAAACCAGCTTTTGAAAAAACTTTAAAAAAAACTCAGGAACCGCATGGCTTGGGGCCCAAGTCAAGCGGGGCTCATCTGGATGGCCAGCCAAATGTGGAACCAGGTGAAAAGCAGCGCAACCACCGGGATGGACGCCAGCAACGCGTACCTGGCAGGGGGAAAAGCGGGCTTGCAAGCGCCTCAGAATACTGTGTGTTCCCCTGTGAATACCAACGCTCAATGGTTTCCCATCATGCCAAAGTGGTGCAGGATTTTGTCCATCCACAGTAGGGGAACCCTCCAAACTGCTGAAGCTCTCTTCGTTCCCTTTCAATCCACACACACAAAGGGAGACCGTAAAAAAAGACACATCCAAATTAGTTGAGATGGGTTAAAGCAACCCACCGTTCCGGCCAGAAGGTACCAGCAAATTCCATCCGAATTTCCCCGAACAGAATGGGGTTTGGGTACGGCGGGTTCGGGTACGGCTGGAATGGTCCCCTCATTAAAGGGGGGACCCTTTGATCGAGCTTTGAACAGAATGGGAGGGGTCGGAGACACGTGTGGTTTTTTAGGAATTCCTCTTTAAGACTGGTTGGGTCAACAAGAATCCAGCGCTCCCCCCATTCTTTGCTGAGTTGCAGGGGAGTAAGCATGTTTGAAGTGGCAAACATGGCCCCCAACCCTGCCTCTATGATTTTTTTAGGCACCTCATTTCATACACGATCATCATTTTCCGGTCTCCAAACCGGTTCGTGCGATAACAAACACCCGAAGCCAGCAGATGTTTGCCAACTTCCGGCTCCTTCTGGGGGCTCATGGGATTGGCGTCCCTTTAAGCGCGAGGTCAAACAAAAAGTCCACGGGGCCGGCTTTGCGGAGCTTCGGATTCAACGCCCCAAGAGTTTTGTCCGCAGACTGGACTTGGGTGTCTTCCCTTTAACCTAAGCGCGGGTGGCTTTGATAGAGACGGAAAAATCCTGCCAAAGGTGACCCTTGATAGAGGTGAATACTCATGCCAGTTGGCTGCTCATTTACCATCCAAATGGCCCAAGGCCCCAAAAAGGCAAATGGAAAACACGACACTGGAAACTCTTGAGCCAGTTGGGTCAGTTGGGTCGAATTTCCCTAAGTTGGTGGTGTCCATTGAAACGATCGCCACTTTGTTGGGTCGAATTTCCCCAAGTCAACAGTTCAATCACTTGATTGGTGGTGTCCATTGAAACGATCGCCACTTTTGGAGGTTCCCCTTTCATAGCGAAACAGAGGACACCCTGTTCCACAACCTCCTGTTTTGACGGTGTCAACGGAAGGAACCCCCCTTTTGTTGGTCCGTTTTGAAGGGAAACCAAAAGGATAACCGTTGCGTTATTTTGGGGGCCTAAAAGCAAGACACACCCAAAAGGTTCTGGACTAAATGGGGACCCACCTCAGTGATTGGTGGGCATACATCCCCATCCAAATTTCTGGGAAACAGACGATTTAGTAACAAGTACTTGCATTTATCTGCATGTTGCAAGTTTAAAGAACAAAAACCACAAAGATATTGTCCAAGTATAGAAACTAAAGTAAACATATTTATAAACACAACATATCTTTGCAACCAGAAGGAATCAAAAACAAATTCTGTATATCCAAATAAAGGCCCTGGTCGACGTGTTTCCCCGGCTCCGCCTTCGCGCCAGCGCCTGGTCGCCTGGGCCGAGCTGGGCGTAGCCTGTGACCAGCAAGCCCAGGGTCAGCGTGAGGGCGATGAAGCCCAGCAAGCCCACCAACTTGTTCAGGTGCCCCACGCTAGCCTGAGCTTTAGGCTTTGACCCCGCGAATATTTCAGTGGGACCGCGGGACTTTGGGACTTTGGCCGGGCTGGGGTAGACTGGGTAGACTTGCTCTAGCGCTGGTGGCAGGTTCCTTATTGCGCTGTTGAAAGTGAAGGCTGCCGTCGCCCCTGCGAGGCGAACTGCATTGGGTCCCTTAAAAAGGGTAACTTGCACAGAGGGTGCCATTTGGGACCCCAAAACGCGAAATTTAAAAGGCCGGATGTGTTTCTCCGTAACTTTCCTGAGCTTTTTTGCATTTGAAAGCAGGAGTTGTTTTTTCCATATAGCATCTGAGGATAGCATACGTGTTTTCTTCTATAGGTCCTTTATCACACATGAAGCCCTGGCCACACTTTCCTGAGCTTTGACCCATTGGGACGCTAGAAGAGGGTAACTTGTAAAATGCTACCATTTGGGACCCCAAAGCTTCAGTTGAAAGGCCGGAGTCGTTTCTGGGTAACTTTCCTGAGCTTTGAAGAGGACCTGAGTTCTCGGTAGCCGGTTTGCTGGGTTTTTTGAGCTTTGAACTTGAAAGCCAGGCTGGTATAGTTCCTGTATCATACATGAACCCATGTCCACACTTTCCTGAGGTTTCATATTGGCCAAGTTGGACCCATTCTGGACCTTGGCAGAGGGCCTCGCGGCCTCGTGTCCTGGCTTGTCTTCCTGAGCTGGCTGCTCCTTTGCGACTACCAGATGGCCAAAACAGACATAGGCCAGGAACAAGCCTTGGAACATCGGGGTGCATGAGTTCAAAGCCCAAACAAATCAAAGCAACGTAAACTCAAGACAAAGGTTTGTGGTTGGTTTGTTTGTGGTTGGTTTACTTAAGGCTGTGGACCCATGGCCATGCTGCACCCTGATTTTCCAGAACTGACAGGTTCACTAACCCATAAACTAGGGGTTCGTGCGGGGTTTATATATGGACGTAGACATTCGGCCTTTGATTGCTCCTTCTTTGGGGCGACCATTTCAGATGGCCAAAGCAGAAACGGAAGGCCACTGGGAAACGCCACAGTTCGTTCTAAAAGGGTCTTTGAGGCTGTGGGTTGCATATGGACAAATCCTTTGTTGCAAAAGCTCCGTCGGGGCCCCCGATCGCAAGGTCACACCAGACCGAATCGCCCTGCAAGGAAACCAAAGGATCCTGTAGAAGTTCGAGGAAAAAAAGAAAAGCAAACCAAAAGGAAACCAAAAAGGACACCCTTTCAGACAGCGGATTCTTCAGGAAACGTGGGACACAAAAGAGAAACCCCTGCAAAACCAAAAGGGAGGCTCCACCTGGGCGTTTTGACCCGCAAAACGACTTGCAGTGGATTCAGCGTGGATGGTCCATGCTTTGACCAGAAGGAAACCTTCGCCATGTTTTCCCAAACCGGTTTCTGGCACATCGCAAGGTCCACTGGGCAACCCATGGGATTTCCGAATTCGGGGGCTGCCCTTTGTTGGGGGTCCCCGACAGCCCAGGAACCGTCGTTAAGCCCTCCGGAAGCCTCCTATCGCCTGGTCAGAAAAAACCCATCAGTGTTCCGCTGTTGGCAAAAAATGACAATGGGATGTGTCTGGAAGCCTTTGCCACTGGGTTGCTCAAACCCTTCAGCAAAACCGGCTGATTTTTCTCGGCGGGTCTTTGCTGCTCACCTCCGCAACTGTTTGACTCGCTCTGCCAGCATGGTGTTTCAAGCTTCAAGTAGGGCCTTGCCATAGGCGACTTAAAACCGATCTAAACCAGCGGCACCCATCCATTTCTATCCAAAGTAACGGATCAAAATGAAATGACACCTATGGGCCTTACTGTAACCCTCAAGCCAGGTAGTCCACTTCGGCCCGTTAAAACCGGACCTCCGCTTTGGCGTTCTCCCAACCTTTCCGCCGAGGAACCTTCACGTGGGCCAAGTCCTGCAGGAGTCGCTCCGCCTCGTGGCCTGGGGACTCCGGGTCGGACGCCAGCTGCACGTAGTGGTCCTCCTCCCCGCCATCCGGCAAGCTCAGCTTCTGATGCGAAGTCACCTGAGTGACAATCAAAACCGATCGGTATTAAAATGGTCGACCCAGAACCATGCTTCAAGAATTAAGAAGGCAGCCACGACTAGTTATGGCTGGGACTGTTCCTTACTAACCTTCACTTTCCCTGGTGTTGTTTGTGACTCACCTCGGGTGAGGTAATGACAAAAAAGACGGCGAACCTGAGCATCCACGCGAATCCGTGGTAGAGGTGCGTCCAGCCCAAAACAGAGAACAACGTGTACATATAGTGTCACATGTGCACAGTGTATCAGACACATTGGTGTTTATACATATAGAGAAAAATGGGATGTGTGTATGTATATATATATATACACATACGTAGTTGTGTGTGTGCGCATGATATATGTAACATATGTATATAAAATATATAACGCTATATATATATATATACATAGTTACATGTGTATACATATATATATATAGGTGTGGCTCACAATCAAACAGGTTGTGGTCCATGTTTCCACTTGGGTTGATTTTCGCACCGGCTTTTTGCGCCACAGCCATATCTGTGCCGTGTTCTATGTGATTTGTGCCTCCCACGCCTTGTTCGCCGCCTCGTAGGGCACCGTGTCCCCCGGGTTCAGCAGCTCCTCGCCAAAGGACTCGCTGGCGGGGGCTCTGCAGGGCGCCAAGCACGAGGCGGAGGGCTCCGGCTCCTGGAACTGCCGTTCTCGTGGTGTTTGTTCTGTGTGTGTGTGTGTATTTTTGTGTTGTTTGCGTGTTTTTATCATTAATTATCATTATCATTGTTATTATTGTTATTATTATTATTAGTATTAGCATTTATATTTCTATTATTCATATTAATGGTAGTAGTATTATTAGTATTATTGTTGTTGTTGTTGCTGCTGCTGCTGCTGTTGTTGCTGCTGCTGCTGCTGCTGCTGCTGCTGCTGCTGCTGTTGTTGTTGTTGTTGTTGTTGTTGTTGTTGTTGTTGGTGGTGGTGGTGGTGTTGTTGTTGTTGTGGTCGTCGTCGTCGTCGTCGTCGTCGTCGTCGTCGTTGTTGTTGGTGGTGTTGGTGTTGGTGTTGGTGTTGGTGTTGGTGTTGGTGTTGGTGTTGGTGTTGGTGTTGGTGTTGGTGTTGGTGTTGGTGTTGGTGTTGGTGTTGGTGTTGGTGTTGGTGTTGGTGTTGGTGTTGGTGTTGGTTGGTTGGTTGTTGTTGTTGTTGTTGTTGTTGTTGTTGTTGTTGTTGGTGTTGGTGTTGTTGTTGTTGTTGTTGTTGTTGTTGTTGTTGTTGTTGTTGTTGTTGTTGTTGTTGTTGTTGTTGTTGTTGTTGTTGTTGTTGTTGTTGTCGTCGTCGTCGTCGTCGTCGTCGTCGTTGTTGTTGCTGTTGCTGTTGCTGTTGCTGTTGCTGTTGCTGTTGCTGTTGCTGTTGGTGGTGGTGGTGGTGGTGGTGGTGGTAATGTTGCTGTAGTTGTCGTCGTCGTCGTTGTTGTTGGTTTATGATTCTATGTTATTATTATTTTTGTTTATTCCTTTCTTTCTTTTTTTTGGGGGGGAGGGTTGTCATGTTGTTGTCCGATTCTTCTTCTTCTTCTTCTTCTTCTTCTTCTTCTTCTTCTTCTTTTTTTTTTGGGGGGGGGAGTTATTGTCATGTTGTTGTCGTATTCTTCTTCTTCCCTTTTTTTTGGGGGGGGGAGTTGTTGTCATGTTGTCGTCGTATTCTTCGTCTTCTTCTTTTCTTTTTTGGGGGGAGTTATTGTCATGTTGTTGTTGCCTTTTTCATGCTGCTAGTATTTGTTTCTCTGTCTTTTTTGTTGGGGGGTTCTCGTCATACTGCGGATGGCTGCGAAATCCATGTTGAACCACTTTGAAACCGGAAAACATGTCGGCTGGTGCAGGATTTTCTCCATCCACAGTAGGTATAGATGAATGTCAACAAAACCAACCACAAAGAACACCTACGATTCTTGTTGGATCCCCTTCGATAACTTATCTGCACTCGGTAGATTTGTGCTTCCCCAAAGGATGTTATTTCCCTCGTGTCTTTTCACATGATCCAAAAGCGGGTCCAAACAATTTCCCGCAAGGGCCGAAATAATTAGAATGAACCCCTCCTTCGACATGACACAATGAGAACATGGGCATGCGAAAGACAAATATGCTCACAGCTGGAACTCTTAACGGGTCTACACCCGGTTATAATGTATATTATATATATATATATATTATACATTGCTGTTGCCTCCCGTGGCATCCAGAAGATCCAAACATGTTCAACGGCCAAAACTCTTGGCTCCGGCTGTTCCAGGAGAACGGCAGATGCTTCGAGTCCCACTCGAGTAAACCCAGACCATCTTTTCTGAGGGCCTTTGGACATGTTTTGTCTGGCATGTCCTCAGATCCGCGAAAAGTTTGACTCTTAGTGGGTTAAATGCAAATCCAGCCACTGAACACTAAAAGGCTAAAAAGCTAAGGGGATGGCTGGGAGCCACCAAGTTATGTAGCGGATTCACATGGATCATAGCCATGGGGTCTAAGCCTCATGCATGTGTGTTATAAATTCTCCTGCAAAGGGAGCAGAACCAGTTGAACTGGACAGAGGCTCTGCTCAACTGGTTTCGAGAAGTTCGAAATGGAGTGTTGGCCAATCCTATGTTTAACAATCTCCATTGGAAAACCACTATAAAGGGGGCCGGGCCAAATTATTTCGCAGCCCAGCTAAGGATCAAGGATTGCCTGTGAACAGGATGTTCACGCTTTTTCAGGAACTTTTGGTGGACATCACTTGGGTCCAAATTTACCAAGCTCGGTAGTGAGTCACGGGACCGGACTGACCCATCCCTGTAAACGAAACCACAAGAAATGGTTCAGTTCGGTGCCGTTCCCTAAACGACAACCCCGTGACCTCGTGACCCAACGCCTGTTGACCCATTTGGTCCCAAACCTAGTGGCCACACGAAAAGAGCTAGCGCTCCCTGTGGGGGTAGATGATTCTACGTATATGGCGCGTCAGGTAAGTGGTTAGTAACCATGGAGTTATAACCCACACAAGTCTCCTAAGTGGGTTATAACCATAGTTACTCTCCACTTACCTGACGTACCCTGCCCCTTAAAGTACGCGGAAGCCTCCTCCAAAAAAAATAAATAAAGATAAAAAGGCGCAACTGGACGCATCTGTGGGGTTGAACCTATTGGCGGGTTATGTCCAAAATATCTCCAGGGCGTCCTTGGCGTACCGGAACGGCTCGTCCTTCTCCAGGTCGAGCTCTTCCTTAGTCCGGAAAATGGAAAACGGGACCCTCTTTTCTAACGGTTGATTCCCCATTCTTTTCAATCGTTCTATTCAAAAACCGGCAAAAACCGGCCGTGTCCTGGAAAGAAGGATCTGGAAAGAAGGATCCCAGGTTTTCTGGAAAGAAGGATCCCTGGAAGAAGGATCCGGAGGTTCTCGTAGTTTATTTGGCTGTGGCTCAAAACACCGGAATTCCAATGGGTTGCCCTGGTAAGTGGAAACATGGACCAAAACCTGCAGTTTGCCCCTCCTGTTTAATGTTGAGCCACGCCCATTTGATTCAAACGTGGATGGACGAAATCCAATTCGCACCACCTAGGAAACCCTGGAAGGATGCTTCCCCTGTAAATAACAATAAACAATGGCTTCCGACGGTTCTTTGAAACCATGGTTGAAACCATAAGGTTTGTTGGTATTTCTAGGGGAATCATCAGAAACCAGGGTTTCTGAACTGGTGCGAAATGGATTTCGTCCATCCACAGTAGCTTGTGTCTTGATTCAAGAAGAGAACTGGACTTGCCTGGCTCTTCTAAGCAGCGTGCTGCCTTGTGAGCCTTCAGTTGCTAAGCTGCCCGGAAGAAATCAAACATGTCCAGTAGTGATAGGTTCCCTGTAAAACCAAAAAGGGAAATTGGCGCTGTTCTTCGGCAAATGGAAGTGAACAACAAACATGGATTTTGGAAAAAACGTGTGAGACAATTTGGGACCTTCTTACAGCCTGCAATTCCAGACTGGGACCTAAAAAAGACCCCCACTCAAACAAAACCCACGGAAACTTAGGTGGAACGGGAAACCAAAAGGGGGAAAAAACACATATATATATATATATACACATATATCAATATATATATATATATATATATACGAGAGAGAGAGAGAGAGAGATACATGTGTTTCTTTTTTCTTGGCGGGGTCTGATTCTTAGATTCAATCGTCGGGAGACCCCCAAAAAGGTCGATATGGGTTTGCCTGGTACATGGAGTACCTCAATACCCATCTAAACTATTACCATCTATGTCTTGCCAAACCCAAAAAGGATACCTGTGACCACCAGGCTTTCCAAGAAAGGGGACACCAAAAGGTCAGCCAAGGTCGATTTGCCGCTGCAAGTGAGGGTTGATAAACCCCCTACAAGAACCAGGGGGTCAATTCCCAAACCACAAGTCCAAACCACCCGGGGTCGCTGGATCTCCCCCTCAAAAGTTGATCAAGTTGACTGGCAGCTTCCACTAACCGGTCGCCACTTTTGGAGGTTTCGCAAAAATGAAATGGCTCCCCCCCCAAAAGAAATAGAATCAAGAGAAACACGGGACGCCACCCCCTAGCCCCCCCTTCCCCCGCCCAAAAAAGAGCACGAGAAGCACGGAAAAAGACACCCCCCCCGCCCCCCCGCCCCCCCCCCCCAAAAAAAAAAAGGCCAACGAGAAACCTGGGACGCATGTCCCCCCCTAGCCACCGAAGCACCGAACCACCGAGCCACCGAACCAAATCCAAAGCATCGAGGCCGAGCTTCTACGGAGCCCTCCCGGTAGACCCGATTCCCGCAGCGCGGCCGGCACCGGAAGCCCAGCATGGCGCGGATGGATCGATCGATGGCTTCGATCGAGCTGGGTTGGTTCTTATAGCCACAAACCCCGGGCAGAACCAACAAACAACATGGCTGGTTCAAGATAAAAACTGCTTCAAACCCCAAGGGTGTGTGCAAAAAACAAAAACGGTTGAGAGAAAACCGGTGGCTCTTTTAAATAAGAGCGCGATTTTTCGGGCACCGATTCGATACTTCGAAACGGGGTCTCGGGATCGATTTGAGGGCAAGTGCTGTGGGCTGTTCGGATTCAAGTTGGCTCGGCTCGGGGATCGATATGGGAGGCTCGTCGTGGTGATCAAGGGAAGCCAAAGGGAAACCAACTAATCTTAGGGCTGCCAAAACTTTAACACAAACCGTGTGAATGACAGAGTTGCTTGGTCGATCAGAGCAGAAGGTGGGGCTGTGGAATTGTTCATCTAAAAGCACTGGAGTAACCACAGTCGCTTGGCTGTGCTTCAGGTGCGGAAAACAAAATCGCGTAGTAGATCTGAGAGCCATCTCCCAGTTCAACCCCTGAAACGCGGCTTGCAGAGTGTGACAACAGTCCTGCGGAAAATTCCAAGAACTCGAGCCAAATGCAAGCAGCGCTTCATGTCGGAAGACGTCGCACAACACACCCTCGGGAGTGCAACGTGCGCCGAAAGTGGGGTCTCCCCCAAAAAGGTGGTGCTTGATTGAATTTTGGACTTCCCATTAAACCACCAACGAAAGGGTACCCTGAAAAAACACATACCCAGATCCATCCGGGCGGATAAATCGCACGAGACTCAAAAGCACCCGCACAATCCCCCACACGAAAGGCGAAAGCCCCACGAATGAAAGCGGGTTGAGGTTTGGGATCCCGTGGCTCCTGCACCACTCCTCCCTGCAACTGAACATAAAGCAAGAGGCGGAGGCGCAAAGCCTAGAGGCGGCAAGGCAACTTGCAAGACAGACGGTGAGTTGGCAAGACACTGAAGATGCCCTCGTCATGGAGGATCTGGAAGACTTGCCAGACTTTCTGCGCGATTGACAAGTTGTCCGTCGCCTCCTGCTTCTCATGCACGGTGTCGACAATGCCTCACAGTCTCAATGCTCTTGGAGCAGTGGCAAATAAATCCTTTCTCACAAGCATTGAACTCACATGGGCGCAAGTGGTTTCTTGTTCGGGACCCTTTGATGGACATCATTTGTTTGAATATTCCTGTCCAACCACTTTTGAGGCGGTTCCAACTCTTAAAGAACATACCCACGATTCTCATAATGTTGACCCCATAGTAATCAACCCCAGTTTACTAATAGCGGGTTGTTCCCTCCAACCCCGGGACACACGGATAAACTGGGGTTGATGAATACGGGGTCAACATTAACATGAGTCACATCTTCCAAAACAAAGGACCCCTTCGAGCAGCTTGGGGCCACATGTGATCCCCCAGCTGAGTAAAGCACCCAACATGGTGCCCTACGTTTAGGCGCCTGGGAGCAAAAAGCCCAACCTTCAACTTCTTGGGGCTTCAGCCGTAGGTGTTTTTTCTCCCGGAAAAACGATCGTCGCCCTTTTGGAGTAGAAAAAGATCCGTGGTATCCGCACGGCCGTACGGAAGGCCAAAGACGGGTCCAACCAGCTGCGGCATCCATACAACCCTTCCCGGCGCCAAAGCAATTTCGGGGTGTCCTTTTCTGAAGATACCCCCTGTTTGTTGGCTTTAAAGGAAAAACCAAAAGGAACACCACCGTATATCATTTTTTCTTGGGGGGGGGGGGCGGACCCCTATAAAAGACACACCCTCTGGTTCCATGGATTGCGGGCGAGCTGCTTTCCACCACCACGTTGTTGCCCTGCAGGATGTCTGCCACCAGCTTGCCATTCGGCAAAGTCATGCCCAGGATGTTGAAGGTGAGGCTCCTCAACTCGAGAGAAGTCGAGCAAGCTCTCTCTTTCCCTGGGCATGGGTCAAAACCCAAATCGTACCCCCTAGTGAACATCCAGTTCAATTCCCACTAAAACAGGTTATAAAATGGGTGGTGCTCCCACCCCAAAATGGTACCATTGGTTTTGAACCATGGCCCCCTCACCCGGACCCTAGGGAGAACCGGAAAAGCACAAAGCCACTCCACCAACCGCATGGAGATCAAGGACAGGATGGTAGACACGAGAAGGGTCACGCGGAAGAAAGGACGCACCAGGCGAACAAAGGACAGCAAGTGCTGGTCTCATTTTGAAGACGGACACCTCACCCCAGGGTTCTCTTCAGAACGAAAAAGAGAAAAGGACGAACGCGAGTCAGAACCATATGGCCATGGGTCAAAAGCCCCCTCACCCCCAGTGAACATCCCAATCCCCACTAAAATCCCGACGAAAATGGGTGGTGCACCTACCAACCAAAACTTGGTTGACGTTGGAAGGGGAGCAAACATCTAAATTTTAGCAGTTAAGTGGTTGGATTTCCCACTAAACCGCAATGAGCAAAAAGGTAAAAGGTTTCCCAACAACAACCATGAAAATGTGATCCCATTGGTCTTGACCCACCACCATAGGATGGGATCGCCTTCCAAATTCGCCCAGCCATTCCGAGCCACGAGCGAGCCACGGTAAATCTCCAGGCTGCCACTCTTAGGTCCAAAAAAGGGGGACACATGCCACGTTTGCAAGACATGAAGAACGTTTCTTGGGGCGTCCACCGGTTTGAGGGCTTCTCAAAAAGGTGAGCCTGTGTCTTGCCCACCTCTCTCTCCCTGACTCCGACTAGGTCCTCCAGTAGAGAGGTTAGAATAAGTGGGTACCCTTTTTTGCGTCGTCTATTTCAGTAGGGGAACCCTCCCAACCAAAAATGAAACCGGTGAGAGCTCGGGCACCTAGCTGATGGACCTGACTCCGATTTGTTCGCCCGCGCTATTTTTGTTATTTATACATAATATATATATATATAAAGAAGAAGAAGAAAAAACGGATCCCGGGCGCAGGGTGCTGGCCGCCACGTCCACGGAGCCCTGGAGGCACTCGGGGCTCAGCGCCGCCAGCGCGGAGCCGCCGCCGCGCTCGCGGCGTCGAAGGCGTGCGCGTCGCAGGGGGGAAGCGGGCGGCAGCTTGGGCAGGGGGTCGTTGGGGGCCGGCACCTGGCGGTAGGAACCCCAATGGCCATGGAACCGTTTCTTCTTGTTCTTCTTCTTCTTCTTCTTCTTCTTCTTCTTCTTCTTCTTCTTCTTCTTCTTCTTCTTCTTCTTTTTTGGGGGTGGGGGGGTGGGAGGAACGATAAAAAGGGTGAAGCTAAACGTGCAAGGGAAGCCATATGAGGTAGGAAGTAATGGCAGGAGGCTTCTTCTTTTCTTTTCTTTTTTGGGGGGGGAGGAACCTACTGATGCCCTTTCGCTTACTCTCCCTTTGGCCATCAAACCCAATTTGGGGGCGTGGGGAGGCAATTCGTCGCGAGGGGGGGGGGGGGGAACCCTATGGATGGCCTAAAGGGAAGTTGGAAGCTCTGGAGGCGAGCATAGGTCGTCCGCCTGAAGGATACCCTCCCATGGCCCATGGAACTGGAAAAGCCATCCAGGTCCTCCAGTAGAGAGGTTAGAATAGGGGTACCAACTTGTTTCTGTAGTCTATCTTAGTAGGGGACGCTTCCCCAAGAAAGGGCAAAAGGGCAAGCCATTTTCCCCAAAACCCTCTGGGTCCCGCAAATGGGAAGGTACCTGGGACAAGGAAAAATCAGTCCACTCGAGCGTCACTCATATTAGGTAAAGCCCAGGGAAATATGTGCTCCGCCAAAGAAAACGACCTGAAGTCAGATGAGGGTCCGTTCCAAAATCAACTGCTAAACTCTGAACAAATCCAAAAACCGCTCCATGAACCTTGAGCTGGACGGAGCAAAACCAAAGCAGGCATCTGTAAAAAGGTCTCCTTGTTTTTGTAACTACCCCCAATGTGCAAAGATCCTTACCTGCACCCTTGCAACTCCACCAAGTCAAGAGAACATGGTCACTGGCACTTGCACCAAAAGCCCTTTTCACCCACCGCAACCCCTTCAACCGCAGAACCTCCTAACACCCCAACCCAATACAACTCCCCCCCACCCCTCCCCTCACACCCCCCACTCTCAACCACTCAACTCTGTTAGAACTGCGGTTGGAAGGTTGGAAGGTTGGGGGGTGGGGGGGTTTGGGGGTTTTGGGGGTTTTGGAGGTTTTGGGGGTTTTGGGGGTTTTGGGGGAGGAAAGTTAGGGGTGTTGGGTGGTTGTTTTTTGGGGGGGGAGTTGGGGTTTGGGCTTTGCGCGCAACGTGCAGATTGGAAGAAGAAGACGCGAGACTCGGAGGGCCTTGTCCAGGCCCATCTTTCCCAGGTCCTCACTGAGCGCCAGCTCTGTGATCAGCGGAGCGTGCGTGATCAGCCGCCCAGCCTGGCTTTTCGACAATAGCCTGGGAAACCAAAAGGAACACCGAAATCCACTTTAGGCCCCCCCCCCAAAAAAAAAACAAAGAAAAGACGAGCCAGCCATGAATGATCAGACTCTTGCCCTCCCAACCCTCCCTGACCCCTCCGCCAGTTAGTCGAGACGTACGTCTAAGTCCCGCGGAAATTCGCCGTAGCCATAGCCATATGGGTGTTTCTCAAAATTAGGATCCCTCCAGGTAGGTGGTTTCCGTCTGGTTGTCCTTTAAGACCCATCCAAAAAGGGGTTTGAGAAACCCATTTGGTCGACTCTATTAACCTGAAACTCCCGTATCCTTGGCTGGAGAAACTTCAACGTTGGTCCAGCGGCTACTGCTTGTTGATTTCTTTGAAGATCCCTGTGGGTGGACGAAATCCTGTATTAGTGGATAGGAGGTGTATCCCATTCTTTAAAGGTATCCCAAGCGGTGCAAATCGGATTTTGTCCACCCGCAAGTGATCGGCGAGGACTCTGGTTGATCGAAATCACCCAGTTTAAGGTTGAGAAATGGAAAAAAACTGAAGACAAGCACTTGAAGGGGGGTCCTTGACACATCCGGGTTGATCAAAAGGTCCGATGAACATGGGATGAGCATTACAAACACTACCATTCTATTTGTTTGCTTTCACCACTAAATGGGAAGAGTTTGTTGGTCTGATCACCCCCCCCCCCCCCCCAACTCACCGCCGCCCCCCCCACCCCACCCCCCCCTGCCTCTTCCGGGAACCACCTCGCCGCCATGGCCACCCCCGCCTGCAGCTCCTGCCGCGTGAAGTTCTTCCCGGCCTCGGAGGGGGGTTCTCCACGGATGCCATAGGGAAGCCACAAAGGGGCCACCCGCGCCGAAAAAGCGCAACACAGATATTGCAAGAGGGAAACGTGGGGTCTCAACCATAGGCCTTTTGAAAAAGATATGGCCACGGTAAATGGAACAAAACCCATCTAAGCCCGTGGAACCCATCGATTTCTAGCCAGACTAACCTAAGACACCTATGGTCCCCACCTCCGACCTGGAAAAAGATCGGTTCAAGCTAGCGCTCTGAGGCACTTTGCCCGAAGGCGGGAAAATGTCACCGACTGGTTCGTTGAAGGTCCCATTTGATATTGAAACCACCAAAAGGGGAAATATGGGCGTGTCCTTAGCGAACCCGCAAACTGGATGTTGGTTTTCCTTGTGGTGCCCCTTTTAAACTGCAAAACAAAAGGCGCCAACTCAACCAAAAAAAGACACTCCCATGTAGGGAAGCAACTCTTGGTTGGACTGGCCTCACTCTTGGAATCCTTTTTGGCAGAAGACCTCCCAGCGTCCACATGGGATCTGCCAGCCCGGTTTTCCCATAGAATCAGCCACTCAGCCACTAAGAAAACACGGGCCCACCTTCCCCGGCTGTCTGAATGGAGCCCAAATGGCGCCTTGGTAATTTTAAAAAAGAAGAAAAAAGACAAGAGGAAAAAACAAGAGAAGAAGAAAAAACAAGACTCAAACACCTGGCGGTTTGCACCATAATTTTGAGCCACGCCCGCCCTCCAAAAACACCTCGGCTCTCTATCCGAGGCGCCGCGGTGGTCTTCGAGAGGTCCTCAGGCGACCGGAAGAACCGGATGCGAGTCATAGCCATGGGTGCCCCTCTTTAAACTCATCCTCCATTTGCTTAAGCCCTCTGGAAAAAAAAATCAGTAGTAATAGATTCCCTTTAAAACCAACAGGGGAAAATTTAAACATGTTCTTAAGCAAATGGAAGTCACATAAGCCATATGAGTGGGTCGCCCCTGGGGCCCTGTGTTTTAGTTGAAACACTGCAAACCGGAATATGCTGCGCATGCTACTGTTGTTTCATTCATTGTTGCATCTTGAATGGAAGTGGCAGCAACTGCCTTGTGTATGCCTAGAGTGCATCTAGCATGTGCAGTGTGTTGTGTATGTCTAGCTTGTATACTGTGTCATATACTTATTTTTGTCTAGCTGTAATCCACATGCGGCATTCCAAGGAATTTTAGAGCATAGGTGTAGCGAACCTTGCATAGTTCAAGCATATGCCTAGCCTGTCCACAATGATGCTACCTTGGACATTGTAGCTCTAACTTATTTGCAGCAATTAAACTTGTCACGTGTTCTCTAGCCGTTGCCTAACATACTCCTAGCATCTGTCTAGCATGTGTCTGGCATGTCTAGTGCATGTCTGGTGCATGTCTACCTATTATGTCCTTGTCTACCAGTGTCAGCTTGTTTCTACATAGTATACGTTCAGCTCTTTGCCAACATTATACCATGTGTATGCATACATTGAGCATTTGGGTACATAGTTCTAGCCTTATGCCCACATATTTCTACCGTGTTCACCATATGTCTAGCCCACGCCTTTTCCAGAAAAACCACCTATGTATCTGTGTTGGCTGAGTTTGGGTCAGACTTTTTGCACAGCTCAAGTGTTCCAAAACAGACAAAAAAGAAAAGCAACTCGAGTGGTTTACACTCTTCCAAACAAATGTAAGCAAGTATCAACTTCTCACAAAAACAATGATGCTTAGGCTAGGTTGAAATCATGCTTTTGGTGTTGATTGAACTCCCGAAATGTTTGGTGACTTTGAAAAACGCACGCCCCGGTATTATTGACGGCACTCTTTAGCGTGTGTGTGCTTAATCCAGAAACCAAAGAAACCCATATATATATATATATAAATACGTGCATGTGTATTATATATATATATATATGCGGGGTTCCCCGTGTGAACCCCCTCCTCTCCGCTTTTCTCCCCTCCGCGTCTTTTTTCTCTCGCCCGCGTCGTCCCTTCCGTCCTGGGCGCTGATCAGACCGTCCCGGTTGTGGTCGAAGAGGTCGAACCGGGAGTTCCAGCAGCCTTGAGAGATGCCCACGGATGACTCCGGGCACGTGGACATGACCTGGCAACGAACCGGGACTTCGAGCGTGGCTTTGTTTGTGGTGGATTTTTATTTGTGCGCTTTTTTTTTGGGGGGGGGGGGTTTGGTGCTGCCCGGTTTGCCACCAAGTGAAGGCTTGATCTTTTCTTCTTCGTGACCCCCAGGTTCTTGGCTAAGGAAAAGATGGATGGTGTTCGGTGCTATTTGGTTCTTTTGTTGGTGACCCCCTGGCTCTTCGGCCTTTAAATTTGAAAACGCCCCGCCAAGCCGAGCCAAAGTCTGGACCATTCTTCTTGAGTTGGCACCCTTGAGGGACGGCAGCTTCCCCCCGAGTGGAAGCTGAAGCTGTGGTTTGGTTCCAAGTCGAAGCCCAAGGGAGTACCAACTCCCAACCTGAGAACATGGGCTCCTCGTTTTTGAGCTTCCCCCCAGACAGGTCAGCCAAGGTCGATGTGCCTTGGGAAGTGAGTTCCCTAAACTGGTGGTTTGGATGGCTTGGGAAGTGAGGTTGAAACCGACCACGAAGCAGCTTCCCGCCGAAATTGGGGCTTGGATGGGTCATGTTACACCCGCTTTGATGATAGGGTCCTCTCAGGCGGCGAGTTGTTTGCCGGAGAAAAGCTATGCCGGGAAAACGATCCGGGCAAAACAAGTGGCTGGATGGGATGGGCTTCAAATCCAAATCCAGCCTGTCCAGAAAGGATCCCCGCCTCATAGAGGGAGACGCCGGCAAAGATCTCGTGGGCCCAGAGTGCATCCGGGCGACTCGCAGTTTGCAACAGCCCCGTGTCCTGCGCATCTCGGGCGACGAATCCGCCTGCGACATCCAAAGAGGAAAGAAAAAAACAACCGTGACGCGGCATTGCGGGTGTGGCTCAAAACTCAAGACCCATGGCAACCGCAGGTTTTTGTCTTTCTTTCCATTTGCCAAGGAGCAATTTTGGGGATTCCAGTTCTTGAGCTACAGCTGTGGACCTGACACAAGACTCGTCTCAGAAACCAGCGTCGTGTGCATATCGACTTACCGTCTTTCCTTCTGCCATACAAGACAGCATCCCTGGTCCATATGCGCTGTGCACCCTTACTACGGATCCCCAGGTTAACAACAAACGCGCTGCACCAATTGGCCAAGGCTTCCACCGGCGACAGTCCTCGCAATCAGCGCATGCAAAAGCACAGCCGAGCAGCAGCCAGTTTGCCCAAGCCGCGTGCCAGTGCCACCCACGCCACTCCATTCGCTCAATGCGCGAGCGCGGAACGGCACTTGTGGCCGACGTGCTCGTTGCTGGCGCAAGTTACGCCCTTTCAGGCGCCCAGTCTGCTGATTGCCGGTGTTCGGTTTGGTTTGCATCTTGTCGGGACTCGCGAAACGTCACTTGGAAGAGTTGGCTGGCGCTATAGTAATTGCAGCCAACAAGCAGTCTAGCACAAGCCGTGCCTTGTTCTGCATTCATCTTTCAGCTTCCCATTGTGTCTCTGAGTCTCTGCAAGTCATTCTTTGGAGTGTTGCTTGTCTCTCTTGTCCGTCATCAGGCTCGGCTGCGCTCGCAGAAGCTGATTGACATTCACCCAAATGTGCCGAGGTCAAAAATATGCAATGGGTATACATGTTCTTCGTGGACCCCGCTAAAGATACCTATATATATATATATCTATACATATATGATAAACATGCTGTTTCCTCTTGGCTTCCCTTTAAATCACACCCTGAAAAATGACACACCGATATAGCGCTATGTTCATAGTTCCCTCGCTTACGCTGGTTGTCCACGCCTCAAAGAATCCACCATCCCAAACCCCAACTCAGGTGTTGTTTTCCCTTTTTTTTCTGGACTGTCCTCAGATGCTAAAAGTGCGCAGCTTTCAGTGGGCGAAGCTCCAAAAAATCCCACCACGAAACCAACCCAAAAATCCACGCACAGCACCTAAGGAACCGGATGGCGAGTCACCAAGCCTTGACACAAACAACATGGGAAGCAGATTCAGCTGGGAACCCACCTGCTCCCCACTGCACCCAAGAGAGACCCACATCGGCCTCACAGTCCCAACCCCCAAAATGAACAGGACCAAACAACAAACAAAGCTAAGAACATGCCCACGACAGTGAAGGTTCCCTATATGTCCTTTTTGAATATCATCCCACCATGAGAAACATGTAAAACCCAAACGCCGACTTGTCAAATTCTTTGAACCCCTTGTCAGCGCTATCCCGGATCCCCTGTTTGTCAGGCGGCGTCCCACCAGCGGCACCAGCTGCAAAACCAACCGGCGCTTTTCTATAACCGCACACGGGCTGGTCAACCGTTATGGATGTGGCCAACCCCTCCCGCCCCAAAGAAAGAAAGCAAGGAAGAAAGGAAAGAAAGAAAGGAAAGAAAGAAAGAAAGGAAAATAAAGAAAGAAGGAAAGAAAGAAAGAATGAAAAAGAACAAGACAGAAAAATAAAGAAGCAAAAACACACTCAACAGGCTTTAAGCAAGCCCGGCCCCTTCGCGCCTCAACTTGGATGCCTCCACCTGCCCTGGAGGGTCGAGACCCATCATTGCGCCTCGGCTGCTATGTGGGTCGCCAGTGCTTTGCGTGCTTCTCTTCTGGGCGCAGCTGGACATAACGTTGACTAGCTGATTGTTGTCTTTTTTGTGGTCCATGTTTCTCAAGGGAACCAAGCAGCAGTCCCAAAAAATGAAAATGCAAGTCCAAAGCAGGAAATTTAGGAAGCAAAAAAACTCGTGCGGCAGAAATGCCCAAAACGCTGTGCGAGCCAGGATCAGGGCGGGAGACCCGCCCTTTGGTCTCGCCCTTTCTGACCACTTTAACTGTGGGCCTGCAAGTCCCAAAATGGTCAGTTCGGCCTTCCTTTTCGCTTCCCCTGAAAAGAATACATCTGCAAGTAGCAATGAATTTTCGGCTGTCCTTGTGGCTTCCCTTTAAAAAAACAAAGAAAAAGAAATTGCAAGCAGCCGGAAAAAATGACACCTTGCCCATGTGAGCCGAAGCGCACTTGACACCCGGCATGCTGGGAAGAAGCGGCAGGAGCTTCCCAAAGATCGCCCCGACCTTCGACATGCCAAGGCGACGAAAGAGGCGCATTCGATGCAGAATTTTGTAGAGCCCAATGGGTCATGTTGACCCCATATTCATCAGCCCCAGTATATTATAAGGGGGTGTCCCTGGGTCTAGTGGCGAATCAGACCACTTTTGCGTTGTTCTGTTTCTTTGGTTTTTCCGTGAAAGGTGGTTGCCAATGAATGAAATAGTTGCATATTGTGGATGGACGAAATCCATTTCGCACCACTTTGAAAGTCGCTTGTTGGCATTTACAGGGGAGTCATCAGAAACCAGGCTTTCTGAGCGGTGGTGCAGAATTTTGTCCATCCACTGCATTAGTCAACCCCATGCAGCTTATTGACTCCAAAAGTGATGATTCCCCACTAAACCCAGGGACACTCCCTATTATTAAGCTGGGGTTGATGAATATGGGGTCGACATTAATGTAAGAGGCTAATTAACTACACACATTGTTCTCGCATTACGAAGTAACTTGGTTCTGTGGTACCCACAAACCTATTCTAACTGCTTTCATCCTAACTTATATTAGTAGCCTGCCCATTTTCGCAACCTACGAGCTGACACAGTTGTCGAATTTGCAAATCGCCATGGCAATGCAAGCAAATCAATCGGCTCGCTCAAACCCGCAACCCAGCGGCTGCGAAAAGCTTTCACTCAGCTGCCCTCTTTTCTTAGTGGTTTGGATTGGTTTGGATGTTCAGAAATCAAATCAGGCTTAGGTACCCCTTAACGTCCAAACAAAACCGGGCTCCAAACCACCACTTAGGGAATGTTGAATATACGCTTGATCTGCTGCAAGGAAAGCCATGGTGAGTGACAGAGATGTACCTTTTTCCCCTGGTTGCGAGAAGGTGCTTCACTCCTGTCTCTCTTTTCGGGGCTCCCGGCATTCTGGTATGGTCCGACCTCGGATCGAGGCAAAAAACACTCGTTGGACCTGCGTGAGTTGCCGCGTGTGTTTTCTTTTTCTTGCTGCGATAGCCAGGGAGGAAGCAGGGGGCAAAGAAGAAGCTGCCTAGATAGCCAAGTTGCGATCGCTTTTTTCAGGCACTGTTGCTGGCCTTCGCGGTAAAGTGGATGGAAAAAAAGCAGCAACTGGCGATCCAGGTGTCCATCAATTTCGGACCCAAAGGTGGCACGCCACAGGTGGCAGACCCATGAAGAGCCACTACTTACCGGTACGATAGGTAGGGAATGACTTTCCGAGTCCGGGTGTTGGTTGAATGAACTGGTTTTGGGGGAGTCCCGGAAAAAGGACAATAACAGTTGGATGATTTTTCTCGGGGTCGTTCCATGTCTCATTCCCTGCCTATCGAACCAGCAAGTTTTGATGTTGCCTGCTTGTTAGGAAAACAACACCATCTTGGGGGTACTGCACTGGCTTCCCACTCGCCCTCCAGACACAGACAACGGACCTGCCAACATGGACCAACTTTGCCAACATGGGTGTGTCTTTTGTTGAGGGTACCCTCTTTTTTGTTTTCCAGCGGAACCAAAAGGAAAACCACCAATTTGGGGGGTCCGATTCCTAAAAGGCTAGACGAGCCACCTACATGCGGAGGTTGAGACGTGCCAATCGTAGGCAAGGTGCATGCTCTGTGTAGATGAACGTCGCCGGCTCCGTCTTCGTCTCGGAGAAGCCTAGAAGGTTACAGCACAGGTGAACTTCAAGATCTGGGGTGTCAAAATAGGGGACCCGCAAAATGTATTTCGGTTTTCCAGTTCGTTTCTCTTTGATCCAAGCTGAAATGGGAACCCTCAAAACAGAATTCACATGCAGTTGATCATCACATAAGCCAAATCTGGGATTGGAGAGTGGACCCTTACATCGTCCTTTCGGCGAAAATCGACTGCCGGGGCCGCTGCGGTCCGTTGCTGGGGGAGGTGGTTTGGTGGTTTGGTGGTTTGGTGGTTTGGTGGTTTGGTGGTTTGGTGGTTTGGTGGTTTGGTGCTTTCGTGCTTTCGTGGTTTCGTGGTTTGGGGTGGATTTTTACTAACTGTCTACAATTCTCAGGGGTTCAATTCCCCAAACCACGAATTCAAACAGCCAAACAGCCAAACAGCCAAACAACCAACCACCACCAACCCAACCAACCAAACAACCAAACAACCAAACAAACCAACCGACGGGACATGCCAAGCCAGCAAATACCAAAACCAACCACGCCAAGAGAAACAACAAGGATTGCATATCAACACAACCCGAGCAACAACAAAAAAGACGACGAAAGCTAGAAATTTCGCCACGCCCGGCCGGGCAGCTGATGGAACTGAACACGCCCAGGTACCCCAAGCCGACCAACCCGGCGGCGGCCAGAGAGGCCCCGATCAACAACACCTGAGTCTCAGCTTCGTAGCTTCATGTATTTGTGGGTGTCTTCACAACCCAAACGGTATCTAGGTCCGCCAGTAGAGAGGTTAGAATAAGGGTACCCTTTCTTCTGCTGTCTATTTTAGTAGGGGAACCCTCACTACTGGGGGACCTAGGTATGGCTTGGCCAAAAAAAAACCTTACGTTATTTGCAGCCGGCGAAAAATGATCGAAACCCAAAAAAAACAACTGCAAACTTGATCCACGACAGTGAAGGTGTGCCTCCTTTGAAGGGACCCCCCACTCCTCACTTCCGGAGTGGACTGCACAACGAAAGTAACCAAACCTGCTTTTTTCGCCCACTAAAAGCGTCTTCGCAAAAGCGCCAAAACGGATTGCGGTATTCCTTTTGGCTTCCCTTCAAACCAAGCCCAGTGTTGACAGAAAGGCTCGGGGTGGTTTCCCATGTACGATCGTTGCTCATGTGCTCACGAATCCTTAGCCTCGCTGACCAAGCAACTGGATGCCATGATCCCTGGTATCAGCTTCCCTATCGGTTTGGATTGCTGGTTTTGAGGTTCGCAAGGGGGTTCAAATCCATGTGCTTTTGGGGAAAATAGATGGATTTCCCTGGTAACAACCAGGTCAACCAGGGCCATCTATGTTCCTATCAAAACAATCAAAAAGGACACCTATGTTCAAATCCCAAACCAATCAAGGGTCCGCCTTTCCGAAGAACCCCATGTTCACCTCCGTAGATCCTTCTTAGGTTAGTTTGGGTAGAAATTGATGGCACTGGTCTACCAAAAGGACACCTACGTTCATCTCATTTTGTGGGGCGTGACCTGAACAGTT